CTCACAACAGCACTTTAAAGTAGACTTTTAGAAATCTCCCTTCAGCTGTCAAGATTTAAAATCACGTCTTAAAGCTATGTTACACAAACAAGTTAACCCATGGGTCAATCTACGCCTTAACTCCACAGTACACAAGCGTGACTGAGCACTAGACACAAAGCCTGATTGTAATCTGAGAGAACTAATTGTAGACTTTATCTAAATAACACTGTACTTAGTGCCTCCACAGGTCCTTGATCATTCATCTGTGTGTAACTTAAGATAGACCAAGGAAGACATTGAAAAGATGAAATTACTGTGATATTTCTCGATGTTTCTTTTGGTCAGCCACATGCGGAAACCTATTATCACGCTTAATACGTATGTCAATTATGCATAGGCAATTCTGGCTGGGCTGGAATGTACACTCTCCCTGGAGGGACGTAGCCTGCTAATCTAATTCGGAAGAATATTGGGTGCAGGTTGGTGGGGCCAAGGCTTGGGGACTTTAGAGTGTACCTTGAGGTACCATTGGAGGTTAACCAGTTAAAACCACATCATCACTCTTTGTTAAGTGGAAACATTTGGCTGACCAAAAGCAACATATCACAGTAATTTCATCATTTCATCACCACACGAGACAGTGCGGGGCCTGGAGGAAAAGCCATTTGTGGAAACAAAATGAAGACGGTGGAAGAGGTAGGACCTAAACCATTCAAGGACAGGGCCTTGAAGGTTGAGGTGGGAGGACAAGGGGTGGAGGAGGATAGCGTGGTCGACTGTATCGAATGCGGCCGATAGGTCGAGGAGTCAGAGGGAGCCCTGGTCGCAGATGGTCAAGATGTCATTGGTGACCTTGACCAGGGCAGTTTCTGTGCTATGGGCAGCACGGAAACCCAACTGAAGGGGTTCGAATAACACATGGGTGGAGAGGAAATAGCGCAGCTGGGAGGCGACAACTCTTTCAAGGACCTTGGACAAGGACTTGTCTCATGCGGTGTCCCTCAGGGCTCTGTCCTCGGTCCTCTCCTCTTCACCCTCTATATGCTCCCCCTGGTGACATCATCCGCAGACATGGGGTTAACTTCCACATGTATGCCCAACTCTACCTTTCCTCCTCAACCGTCAACGCCACGACCACCGATGTCCTGACAGCCTGCCTGTCTGACATTGAATCCTGGACGAGAGACAACTTTCTTCAGCTCAACATGCGTAAAACTGAAGCCCTCCTGATTGGCTCGCGTCAGCGCCTCCGCACCTCTGGTGCTGACAGCATCAGCATCCAAGGCTGCACTCTCCACCTCTCAAAGTCAGTCAGGAACCTTGGGGTTCTGTTCGTCCCTGAGCTGTCCTTTCTCCCTCATATCCGCGCCACAACTGGCACCGCCTTCCATCACCTCCGGGAACATCGCCAGACTACGGCACTACCTGACCCCTCACGCTGCTGAAACACTGGTCCACGCCTCAAATTCAAGATCCTCATCCTCACCTACAAGGCCATTCACGGTCTTGCTCCCTCCTACCTCTCCGACCTACTATCCCCCTACTTACCTGCCCGTACCCTCCGTTCCTCTGGCTCTGGTCTGCTCCACATACCCCGCCCCAACCGCCCTACCATCGGTGGCCGGGCCTTCAGCCTCTCAGCCCCTAGGCTCTGGAATTCTATCCCCCAATGCCTTCGCCGCTTCCTCCCTTTCCTCCTTCAAGGCTGGTCTCAAGACCTTTCTCTTTGACCGTGCCTTCAGCTCCCCTCTCAACTCGTTACCCCCTCCTTGCTCCCTCCCTTCCCTCCCCTCACGCTGACCATTTCCCCCCTGCTCATGTCCTGACCCAACTGTACAGCGGCTTGGGATGTCCTCCCGACGTGAAAAGCGCTCAATAAATGGAATCTTGTTGTTGTTGTGTTGTTGTTGAAGGCGAGGTTGGAGATGGGCTTGATAGCTGATAGCTGCGATGCATCAAGGGAGGGTTTTTTCAAAGTGGGAGTGATGGTGGCAGTTTTTAGGGGAATGGGAACAGAGCCAGAGGAGAGGGACAAGTTGATGATGTCTGTGAGAAGTGGGGCAAGGAGGTGGAGCTGAGAGGTAAGGAGTGGAGTGGGGATGGGGTCAAGGGAGCAGGTGGTGGGTTTCAGGGACAGGATGAGTTTGGTGACAGAGAGTGGGGAAATGGGTTCGAAGGTGTATAGGGGAGGATGGGTAGGAGTCGGAGTGTGGAAGGGAAAGGGTGGGGGGAAGTTGGAGGGAGAGTGACCGCGGAGCGGATTCCCTTAATTTTGGATTCAAGGAAATCCAGCATCTCCTCGCAGTGAAGGTTGGAGGAGATGACCTGCGCGGGGTGGCGACGGAGGAGTCGGGATGCGGTAGAGAACAGAAGCCTGGGGTTGTTCTTCGCCTCCAGGATTATCCTAGAGTAGAAGGACGACTTGGCCGAGGCTAGAGTGGAGCGGTAGATTTTGAGGAGGTCCAATCAGATTTGCCGGTGGACCGTTAGGCCAGATTTGAGGCAGGTGCGTTCAGCGGCCCGCACCTGGCTGTTCCGTGTGTGGTGAACCAGGGGGAGGAGCGAGAGTAGGAGACAGTACAGGAGATGATGGGGGCAAGAGTGTCGAGTGTGGAGGAGAGAGTGTTGTGGAGGAGGGTGAGAGCAGAAGAGGGGTCAGTGAGGGCTGAAGGCAAGAGGGAGAGGAGTTCAGAGGACTCCAAGGCAGCGGTTACGGATTGTGGGGGTGACTTCTTCCAGGGGCGGTAGAAGATGGTGGTGGATCTGGTGGAGGTGGGGAGGGGGGTGGAGGTGGTGAAGGAGATGAAGTGGTGATCGGAGACAGTCTTGTTGGTAATGGTGACATCCAAGACACTGAGGCCCCGGGTGATCACCAAATCGAGTGGGTGGCCGTGGCTGTGAGTGGCAGATTTGATGTGGAGGGAGAGGTTGAGCGAGGAGAGGAGGGAGAAGTCCGAGGAGATGGAGCAGGAGGGAGTGAAGTGCAGGTTGAAGTCGTCCAGGATGATGAGGCGAGCAGAGCAGAGGGCCGGTGGAGGAGGATTTTGAGTGAGAGAAAGGAGGGGTGGGAAAGGTGAAGTGCTTGGGAAAGAGCCAGAGGAGTAGGGGAATAGAGCAAGTGGTGTCCTTGAGATAAGGGCTACACCACCGCCCTGGCGGTTGGGGCAAGGGATGTGGTGGGAGCTGTAGCCGGGTGGTGTGGCCTCCGTGAGGGGGAAGGTGTCGCCAGGGGTGAGCCAAGTGTCCGTTAAGGCCATGGTGTCAACGCTCTCATCAAGGATGAGATTGTTGATCACCAGAGCCTTGTTACAGGAGCGGACGTTTTGTAGTCCGATGTGGAGGGAGCGGTTGACAGAAGGGTAAAGCAAGGATGAAGGTGAAAGGGTCACAGAGCCTGGTGTCGAAGGCATGAGCTGCAGAGTTCTAGATGACCTGCAGCTTGTGGAGGGAAGAGTTGGGAAGGCTGACAAGCAGGGAGTTGGCATAGTCAAGTCTGGATGTAATGCGTGGATTAGGGTTTGGCAGTCTGAGGGGAGATACAGTGGCAGAGCCAGATGATGTTGGGGAGATGGGGGAAGGCAGAGCGGGTCATAGCACGGATGTGGGGTAGAAAGCATTTGAGGGTCAAACAAGATGCCAAGGTTCTGGCCTGGCTCAGCGAGGTGGAGTGTTTGCATTCATGGATGGTGACGCTGACGGGAACCAATCAGGAAGGTCTCGGTCTTGTTGACTTTGTTGATATGAGCAGCTATTTCTACACTTATATGAAATCTACAAATGCAAAGTGAGGCTATGATTCACTAAGCTTAAATATAAGACTTGTTATTCTAAGTTTATCTTCTTGGTGTTATGAAGTCAAATTTATTGTCAAGGACAAGTTTGTATTCAGTGATAAGATCTCTTACAACATTTCATGTCCAGTTAAATCTGTTATAGCAGCAGGGAGTCATCATTTATAGAACAGATTAAGGACTTAACTGTTATCTCTCTGTATTGCGGAAGCTTTCACTGAAGTCTCTCTGTTGACCTGCCGTCAAATGTCAAAAGATTTTAAGGAAATGTTTTGCTACTTGCTAAATTTACAGGACTTTGAAAGTTGCATAACCATTATTGACTTGATCAAAACAAATTGATTAAACAAAGTTTATTCTACCTCCTAAGCCTGATCATCTTCAAGATTTGTTTGCTCAGCTGGACGGACGCAGAAATTCTTCACCATGCTTCAGACGATCCAAACTATGGCATGCTGAAGGTAATTGACTGGTATGTTCCAGTTACACTTAACATACCTCAGGAATGAAACTTTTAAAAATTCCTGATCTATATAGCTAAATTCTATGCTACTTGCTCAGCGTTCCTATCTCTCATTCCTTCTTGATTCTTTCCAACACTCCTGAGAATTCTTCACATTCTCTTTCCAGAACTCTTTTGTCCTGAAGGTTGAGATGGCAGCTTTACCAACTAAGAGCTGACTTCCAATTCATTTTTCTCTTCTAACTGATCTCGATCTTTGTAAACATCATCAGTTTCCTCTTTAGGACAAAAACTTAGGCACATAGGAATATCGGGGACCAAAAAGCATCTTGTGGTTCACCCTGCTCAAAGAATGAACCAATCATGCACTTCTATCTTGCTCAATTGTTTTTTTCACCAAATAGCTAGAATTTCCTCTTGAATTTTCTGAACAGATTGTTCATTCCATGTACAGTAATATACCACTCTGTATAGTCAGTCTAAACAATCTATTCATCTTCCCCTTTTTGAGATTGTAGCTATGGTAAACAAATTAGAGTTCATTCAATTTCTAATTAGAGTTCAATTAATTAGCATTCTATTTCCCTTTAAGATCTTTTCTGATTTATTTAGTAAAATTAAAAATGTAATTAACTTAAGCATTTAAAAAAACAAATTCAGATCATAAAAGGAGTATGTTGCAAAATGCATACACAATTATGCAGCAATTGTTTCTATTCAGATTGGTTAAGGCACTAAATATTCTCCATTTAGAAAGTACAATAAATCTTGTTTATTCATAAGATTCAATACAGTATTTCAAAAATAACAATCATTGTGATTTGTAACAAGATTCTGTGCAATGCATGTTCTTTCCATAAAATATTTATACATGGCAGTCAATTCAGTTATTTTTTGATTTTTTTTTAAAAGATAAACTATTTAGAAAATCATTCTTGTAATATTATATTTGTTCATTTCTTAGACTTCACCCACAAATAGTCAATTCACTTTACAGTATATATCGTGTGAAGCATTTTGAGATGTCTCAACGACCTGATAAGGCGCAAATCAAATGCAAGGATTATTATTCCGGTTATTCTTATTCATAGACAGGATGTCGGTGACCCAGTAATGGAAGAGAGAACATACTGCAGTGGCCTCTCCTGCAAAAGATCAAAAACAGGCTTTAGAGTATTAGTGTAAATATCAGATTAGTGTACAACATCAATTTAGTGTAATGAGCACAATAAAATATTTCAACAATTAGAGGAAAACCTGGATGAATGAAGGAAATAAAGCAACTGTGATTGACATTCTGCTGGAGGTGTTTGTGTTGGTCAAGGAGATGATCTGGCTCGAATGTTTCTATTACGACGAATAATATAAATAATGTCCAATTGAGCAAGGTACAAGAGGTACCCCTCTTGGTTAATATCTGGCCCAGTTGGTAAATGTGGGAGGATTGTAGCGTGAGTTTAAATGTGGGCCTGCAGATATTAAAAAAAATATTTTTGGGATCAGTCAATGAACCAATGCACCCTTACTTAAAAGTCTCTTTGGTCCAGTCCCGAGTGGTTGCAGGTTTGACTGTATTTAAATGTATGCCTTCTGGTTACTGACTCGTTGACCAGTGGAAATATTCGATTACTACTGACCCTATTGTAATCATTCATAACATTGAAGACTTCTATCAGATCAATCCATAACCTATTCAACAGTAGTAGAAATAACATTTTCAAGTCTCTCTTCATAACTAGCAATATTCTTGTGAATCTACATTGTCCTTTTCCATTACTTTATACCCTTCCTATTATAAAGGGGTTCCCCAAACTGTACAGAATACTTCATTGTAACCTTACCAAGGTCTTCTTCAAGCTCATAATTACTTCATTGCTTTTGTACTCTATATTTCTGGATATAAATCCAAGCATTTTGATTGCCCTTTTTACAATCTTTATTTATCAACCTGCACCACTATTAATGACCTACACAGACACACACAGTCCCTCTGCTCCTACAATCCATTTAAACTGCATTTCCTTATTCTTACACCAACATGTAGTGCTTCACATTTTCCAGCAAAGACATTCTCTCCAGTCTTACCTACGTCCTCCCGTGGTCTTTCACAATTTTTGTTATATCTGCCATGCCATAATGCCTCCACGCCAATTTGATGACATACAGGATTTAGGATCATAGATAAATTTGGATTCATGATTTAAGCCTTTAACTCAGCCACTGGATAATTTCCCCTCCTCTCAGGTGTGATTTCCCCTCTCATAAACCACCACCTATAAACCACTCGCTTAATTTAAAATGTTTTTATTTCAACAGGTGTCCCCACATGCATCACTCTGAATATCTATTGAATAGTCAGCCTAACATCCATTGTGAGCAAACGTTTAGAGACAATACAGGAAAATAATCTCTTGGAAAGATGGAGTTTAAAAGACATTCAACATGGATTTGCTCAAAACAAATCTTGCTCAACAAAGAGTTCTTTCATGAATTCACCTAGAAAACTGATAAAGGTAATGATGTGGATGGGGTGTAATATATATGGATTTTCTGAATGCTTTTGATAAGGTCTGCAGAGGCTTGATGCGTTAGGACCATTGCTTTTCTCCATCTATATAAATGATCTGGATTCTGATATAAAGACTACCATCTCTAAATTTGCTGAAGACAATAAGGAAATGCAGCTTATAGTAGTGAACATGACTAAGAAACTTTAGGAGGACATGGATAGATGAGCAGATTGGATGGAAAAGGACAGATCAAATTTAATGAAAGAACGTTATACATTTTTGAGAGAAAGAATAAAGAAAGGAAGTATTTGATAAACGGTGGGGTGGATAGGGGAGCGAATATGAAGTAGACAGGTTTTCGCTGAATTAAGGGCTGGTAGGGTTGAAGGAGGCCAAAGAGGTAGCAACAAAATCATGCGCAGATTTAAATGCAAGAATGAGGATCTTGTGGAGATTTGTGGAGCCTGGAGCAAGAAAGAAGACCTGGGCTGCAGAGTTCTATATAGTCTGTAGCTTGTCTGGGGAAAAGCAGTTAGCAGGGCATTGGAGTAGCAACCCTGGACATAATAAAGGTGTGGATAAGTGTACAATACAATGTCATTATAACCACTAGAAATCACCATATGGCCACTGACACTGGTTTATTGTGCACTGTTACCCAGGCATCTTCTGAGCATCAATCAAGCATATAGAAAACATTTTGTACAAACCACTGCATACCAGGAGACATCATTGCATTTTCCTTGAACTCCTTCAGGACAATGGTTAATCTGTTAATATCCTGTAGAACAACCAGATTCTTTAAACGATGCAGAAACAGTACATCAGAAGATGGCACTGTGCCCGATTCAAGGCTCTGCAGGATTCTGTGAACGTCTTCCAAGGCAGGACATACATCTTCAGCTCTATTTTTACCTTAGAAATCAAGAAGCACGAAGAGACATTAAGCTTTCCAATTCTGTTTTAAATTTCAAGGAATTTAGTTCCTTTTTGAAACTAATTTCCACAGGTACAACAGAGCACAGATTATCCACATTACAATACAAATTTACATTTAGGAGTACGTTCCAAGGCACTGATCAGTCTAGGGTTGGGGTAGGGGCCAGGAGATGAAAGTGGGAAAAGATGAATGAAAGCATGCCAAAAGAGAAAAATCTGGAGGCCGACTTTGAAAAGGTAATGGAAGGGAAGAGGTGAAGTTGCAATATGGAGTTGCAAGAGTGAATACAGATACACTGAAAGCCTGACTGGAGGGAGCACAGAAATAAACAACACAATAGGTCATCATTCAAACCATTGTATGTACGTCATTGTTTTTCTTCCAATGAAATCTCATCCCAATTTCCTGCTCTCTCTCCACTACTCTTACTCTGTATGCCTTTATCCAATTCCTTCATAAATGCCCCAGTTGACTTTGTTCCAACAATGAACCCTGCCAAATTATTCCATATTCTGATAACCCTCAGAGAGAAAAAAAATTGCTCCTCATTTCCCCGTTCACAATCTATCTTCAAATAACAATTTACATTTAGGTTTTTTTTGTGTCAGGGGGATGACTCACAATACTTCACACAGATGACTGAGCTAGTTGCAGGGTACGAGATGGTGTAGCAGAGAAATAAAAGGTGACCAAAAACAGTGGAAAAGGTAAGTCCTAAACTATAAGTAATATCACCTAATATTATTCCTTCAAACCTTCCTAAATTGAAGTGAATTAGAGCACTGCACAACAGTGGGGTTCCCGCAATCCAGTGGTCTAGAGTTACTGCTCTGTGAATGTTATCTAGAATAAGATTCTTACTATTGAGTCTTACCACCTGCAATATCACACTCTTTCATCACTGTCCTGAAGTTTCTTACAGGTTACCTCAATCCATCATTTTGTTTTCTGCCTCTACAAATTTCGCTGTCACTACGTCCCTCCTCAAAAAACCCACCTTTGCCACCTCTAACCTTACAAATTACCATTCCATTTCCAATCTGCCCTTCCTTGCCAAAGCTCTGGAACGCTTTGTCACTAATCAGCTTTGTTCACACTTCTCCCTCCATGAGCCTCTCCAATCTGGTTTTCTCCCCGCCCGCAGCACAGAGATGGCACTTGTCAAGGTCACAAATGACGTTGCTGCTTTCTGTGATCAGGGCTCCTTCTGCCTTCTCGTCCTCCTGGACCTCTCTCCTGCATTCAACAGTCAATCGCGCAATCCTCATCCACTGCTTCTCCGCCCTCACCCACCTTAGTGGGACCGCACTAGTCTAGGTTGAGTCCTACCTAACAAACCACCTTCATTTTGTCTCTTGAAACGGTTTCTTCTCCCGCCCCCGCCTGGTCACCTGTGGCGTATCCCAGGGCTCCATCCTTGGCCCCCTCCTCTTCCTCATCTACATGCTCCCTCTTGGCGAAGTCATCCACAGACACAGGGCAAACTTCTACACGTATGCAGATGGCACACAAATCTACTTCTCTTCCTCCTGCTGCAACTCTAGGTCCACCGATGTTTTGTCAGCTTGTCTGGCAGCCATCAGTGCCTGGATCAGGTAAACTTCTTGCAACTAAATGTTGACAAGACAGAAGGCATACCCTTTGGCTCCCGTCAACATCTTCTGTCCTGCGGCTCTGAACCCCTCAACATCCCTAGCCTATCCCTCAGACTCACTGAACTGCCTAGGTGCGCAACCTCGGCATCAGGTTTGACCCACAACTGTCTATCCTACCCATCAACAAATGGATCGATTTCAAGATCCTACACCCATTTTCAAACTCTTCACGCCCTGGAACCTCTCTCTACCTATCCGACCTGCTTACTTCCTCTGCTCGACTAGCTCGGCCCCCTTCCGAAGTCCTCAGAAACTGGAGAATAATGTTTATTTTTAGGAAAGATTTGTAATAACTTACCATCAGTAAAATAAATTTCCTGTGTTGCTTGTAAGAAATCAATGATCTCAGATGCCTTTTTTTCACCTTCAGCATCATCTTCTTCACTTCTGCCCTCTTCTGGTTGATATGTGAACTCCAGAGCAGTGGCTTTGGATAAAAGTCCAGCAGCCCTTAGCTTTTCTTTGTGCCGTTTCTTTTTCAATTTTCTTTTCTTGTTTTTACTTAAAGTTTCTGTTGTATGTTTTGCAGAATCTATATGAGTTGTTTGCAAGATGTCTGTTTCAAACAACTTTGGTTGCTGTTCCAGTACGGTTTGTGCATCATTGCTAAAGGAGAAAGAGCTACAAAGCTTTCTTTTATGCCTACGTTTTCTTTGAAATCTTCGGGGACAATCACTTTCTGCAATGAAATAAATAGTGTAAGGTGTTCACAGATTACTGTGCAACATGAAAGTAAACTACTGGCAAAATAAGATCCAACTGTGCCCTTTGTGGAGAAGAAGCCACATATTTCTACTGAAATAGAAGTTTGTTCTAAAGTTGACACAGTATTGATGGGAAAAATAAAGTATTTCTATACAAGGGTAAAAGGGCTTGAAACAATTGTACGGAATTAGAATCTCAGCAACAGATTACGCAACCCAGAAGTTAAAAAGTTACTGATCATCATTGGATTTTTTTTGAAAAAAAATAGAAGACAAAGACGCTGGACAGTTGAGAGTCTGCAATGGTGGATTTGAGAGGATGGGGGTGGGAGGGGAAGATGACAATAGCATAATAAAAGAGGAAGGTGGTCTTGAGTCAGACTGTGAAGGAGGTGAGGGAAGGGTGAAGTGCAGGGACTCTGGGTTGGAGTTCCTGAGAGTGGGAAGAAATGCAGAAAGCCCAGGCTGATGACAAGGTAGGCAGGGTTGGGGACATGAAGCAGACCAGTGCCTGACGAGCAGAGGAAATGGGTGGGTTGGTAGTATTTTAGAAGGTTGCAGAGGTAGGGTGAGGTAAGAGAATGGGGGGGATTTAAAAGTGAGGAGGATGAAGGCACAGGTACAAAGGCACAAATTGAAGCTTTTCTTACCATCTTGTACTTCATCACTTGAGTCATGCGACTTGGGCTGCTCATTTTGTCTGGTTGAGCTCATTTCATATTGAGATGGGGGCAGGCTCACTGTATAGATTTTCCTATGCACAGGAATGGTTTGTTTAACATCTGTAAGGAAGACATCCAACAGCATTGACTTTCTGGAGTGAAAAAGTTTCTCCTTGGGTCTCACTCTTCTTGTGACTGTCGTATAACTATGGCCCCTAGTCACGGACTCCCCCCAACAGAGGAAATAAATCCTTATTTAGCTGTCAAAACCTTATTACTTTTCTCAAGAACACTCTATGGGCAAAGCATTCCCACAGGCTAGTAAACCTAACAATGTTCAAACTTGTACCAACAGAAACATCATGTAGATTTTATCTATTGTATCAATATTTTCTCATTAGCTTTCTAAATTCTAAATAAATAAAATCATAGGATTATTAAATTATTAAACTAAAAGATTATTTTACATCCTACTAATGAGTCTGGAATGCACCTGACACTGTGTCATCTTTTTAAAATGCTTCCAGTACTGCCGAATTTTAGTAACTTACAATAGTGAAGCACTGGAAAGTTCTTACCCCAATTTATCAGACATAATGTAATAAACCCAAGGGGTTGAAGAGTGGCAATGTGAGTTAGAACAATTTTCAGCTGAACCACTGTGGATCTGACCTGATAATTGCACAATAAAGGAATTAATTAAAATATAAGTACAATATTGTACTAGTTTTTCTTTGCAAATCACCTGCGTATATCTTATATAACAGCAAATCTAGCTTTTTTAAAAAAAATTCTGGTTTAGACAATTAAAACATCTATAAAATGAGCTTGAAAAATGAAATAAAATTTTTCAGGTAAAAATGTTAAACTTGCAAAGGAAATAAGACCGGTTTTCTATCCCAAATACTTTTAAAAATCCCCTTTTAAACAGATTATATTGTTACAATAATATTGTTTAAGTATTACAAAATTGAAAATAAGAAAATATTATAATTGTGTATGTGCTCCCTTAAGTATCAAGGCAGTTAAACAAAAAAACATGAATACATTAGAACATACAGCACAGAAACAGGCCGTTCAGCCCAACTGGTCAATGCCGGTGTTCATGCTCCACATGACCCTCCTCCTGCCCTTCCTCAACTAAGCCTTCAAGAATAACCTTCTAATACTTCCATCAACAGAGATGCAATGCACTACACTTGGTAACTGCTAATAATAATTAGAAAAATTAAACAGCAATACTTTTGGATTTTACTATTGGATGATACAGGAATGCTTACAAAACAATTTTGGAATGCTAAAATCATACTGTACTTAACAAAATAAAGCCTTTCTGTTGTGTGGTCAGCTGGATCCAATCGCTCAGCATTATAAATGAAGTGCGCAAATTGGTTAACTTTGGGTTATAAGGCCGTCACAAACTTTTCTATGTGAAGTGATGCCAGCTGCTATCCTTTGGATGTGTGTAAAGCGCATATAGTAAAATTAGTGGCTACCATTTTTTAGCGCCAGAAGCTGGCTAGTCAGTGCCAAAAATCGCAGTTCTGGTTGGTAGATGACCGCAGTGGGCAGCACTATAGCAAAGTTCACTATAATGGGATTCTTTTGTATATTTAGCATCTAATATAGTTCAATTTCCATGGTCACAATATGTACACTGGTTACCTATTGATGAATCACTGATTTTGCTCCTCTGCTCTTGGTTTGCACTTGATTGTTTGGTAGGGGCTTCAAGATTCTTCTCTTCAATGTGAGGTAAACCATACAATTGGTTAAGAACATGCTGTTTAAACACTGAAGGAATGGGGAAGAAAAGAAGAAAGTGTCAAGTGCTTATTTTGTACAAGGCTCGTTGTGCAGAGATTTAAGGTGATGTTAAACTGAGGCCGTGTCTGCCTGTTCAGATGGACATTAAAGATCCGATGGCACTATTTGAAAAGAGAAGGGAGTTTCGACCAGTTCCTGGTCAACAATCCCCCAAATAAAAATTGTTCATTCACTTCATAGCTGTTTGTGGGACACACACACACCTGTGCACAAATTTGCAATTGCATTCGCACACAAAGTATAGTCACTTCACTTAAAGTATACCACGTGGTGCTAATTTTTACCTGACGCGAGTCTCTGGGACAGTCTTAAATAAATTAATGTCTAAAATGAATAAAGGTGCTCCAAGATTCAAATGGTTGTCTATTGTGGTTAGAAAAGCATTGTTATGAAAACAAAAAAATTATTCAGTACTGCAGTGGTAGCCAGTTTTTAAGGTCAGCCAACAAATGTTCTTGATTAAATATTTCTTGTCACTCACTCCATGGCTGTTTGTGAGTAATTGTGGTGTGCAAACTGGCTGCCGCATTTCGTCCACAAAAGAGTCACTCCACTTTACAGTATATCCTGAAGTGCTTTGAGACATCTTGACAATGTGATAAGGCATTATTTCAAAGGCAAAGATTATTATTATTTATTATTAACGATTTAAGCCATAAATCAAGAAATATTTAATATTGAAAAACCTGGAAACACAAGTCGAACACGGACGTACCTGGACAGCATCTTATATAGAAAAGTGTTTGAAGCATTTCATAGCAATTTCTTTAAAGTGTAGCATTTGTGCGTGAACACAGCAGTCAACTTGTATATAGCAATGTCCTTCCTATAATCAGCCATTCAGTGAAAGACCAATTTCATCTGGAGGTTTGTTGGCCAGGACACCGGGAAAAATCTCTTTTCAAATATTGTCATGGGATCTTTAACGTTCAGCTGAGCAGACAGGATATTCGTTCAACAGCTCATCCAATGAATGAGACAAACTATAACAATGCAGCACTTTCCCAACATGATACAGGAATATCAACCTAAACTAAGCAAGCCCAAGACCCCAATATGGGACTTCAACCTACAAGCTGCTGACTCAGGAGGCGACAGTGTTACTATCAACTGAGTTAGTTTAACACCAAAATTAACATCTTCAGAGTCTTGCCTCATTTTACCTGTGACCCCTTTAACCATACAGACTTGGCTGCTCCCTTCACAAACATTGGCTGGTCCGCTTCATGTCCCCACCTCATACACTCACCATCAGTGGGCAGGTTTTCAGCCACTCAGCTCCCAATCTTTGTAACTCCCATCATTTGCTCTCTCCCTTTTTCAAGGCCAGTCTTAAGATGTACTTATTTGACCCGATGACTCATCTTTCCTCTCCCTACCTCCTTCAGTTCTCACCCCAAACTCGGATACCCACCAACAGTGTAATGTTCTTTAAGACATCTTCCTGACGTGCAAGGTGTTGTAGATATGTAAACTGTACTACACCTTACACCAGGTTAGGACTACAACCACAAGAGTAGACCTCAGTTAAACATCTCACCTGAAGGGCAGCGAAAGTGGGCAATAGGAACGGAGCAACCAAAATAAATGTGATGTACTGGAGAACCAGCACACACTATGAGTGCAAAGTCACTACTCTGGGGCCTGAGCCCTTTCATCTCAGGAGGTTTCAAAGCAATTCACAGAATTTAGCATGAAATGAGATAACTGCGTATTTTGGTGTCTAACATAACAGCCAATGTGCCCACAGCAATGTCCTGCAAAGAACCATGAAATAAATGATTGATTGTTGGGTAGGACACCAGCAGAGACTCGTTTGTTTTCGAATGGTGTCTGTTAATCTGAAATGTCCATCTGAACAGTCAGATGGGACCTCAGTTTAACATGTCATCCAAAGGACAGCACCTCCAACCGGGAGGCGAGAGGGCTACCAACTGAGCCACTCTGATTCTCTATTATTTAGTCAGTTCCCTTCAGTAAAGTGCTGACAGCCAGCCAGCCATTTGAAACAAGGTTACCATGCATCCTGATCATCAAGATTCACTTCATTTCTGATCAGTTTACACTGCTTTGAGACAGCATCTGGAGGACACCTCAAAGAGCCTCACAAAACAGTGACCAAAAGACAAAGTCTCCCACAACTTTGTGGGATACTGCTGTGGGCAATGGGCTGCCGCATTTCACTCACAAAATATACAGTCAATTTGCTTGACAGTATATTCTGTGATGCACTTCGAGACGTCTCAACGACGTGATAACAACAAAATGACATTTGTAAAGCGCCTTTCGCGTCGGGAGGACGTCCCAAGGTGTTGGACAGACAGAGTTATGGACCCGAGCTGGGGGTAGGGGTCAGGGAGGGTGGAGGGCAGTGGGGGGGGGGGGAGGGAAGCTGGGAGATCGAAAGCACGGTCGAAGAGGAGGGTCTTGAGGTGGACGCTACATCAAATGCAAAAATTATTATTACAGTAATTACATCAGATAAATAAGTTGCATCAGTTGGGACCGTACATTTAATACAACTTCGGCTAAGTACGAGTTACATCAAACTTTTGTGGGCATAATTGGCTTGGGACAGACGTACGACTTTAGGCGATTTATACAGATCAGACTTACGCAAGTTTTTACTATTATCAGAGATTACGACTAAAAATGGGGCTTTACAGCGGGAGAGGGACGGAGGTGGACTCCTGCAGTCAGCGAGGACGGAGTGGCTGAAAGCTCACTCACTCCCCGCTGTGGGTGGGGGGGGTCAGTGGGGGGGACAGACCTGGGTTCAATCCCAGACAGGGCGACACCTTGGGCACGTTTCCTTACCCCACACACCTAATAATAATCCCTCCAAAACCCAAAAACAATAATAAATTGGGTCCTTTTCAATCCACGGCTGTTAGTGGGACATCGCCGCGCGCAATTGGCTGCCCCCCCCACCCCACCCGCCCCGCGTGTCGCCCACAAATTCACTTGACAGCATATTCCGTGAAGCGCTTTGAGACGTCGGGAAGACGTGAAAAGCGCTCTGTCAAGTGCAAGGATTATTACTGTTATTCTCAGGGAGGGAGCAGGCCGGAGGGAGCCTCCGCTCGGGTCGCAGGAGGTTCCCCCCGAGGGGAGGGGAAGGGGAGAGGGACGTTTTCGTTTGCGCGAACAGCAGAAGCTCAACACGAACGCTCTCGTCTCTCTCTGTGAGGAAGAAAAGGGCCGCGAAAGACGGCCGCGGCTCCGGCTCCCCGAAACCTCGCAGCGCGGCGGCCGGCGACTTAACCCGACTCGCGGGCCGGCGGCCCCGCTAACTTGAGGGGGAGGTGGGTTGGTTGGTGGAGACACTGCAGCGGAACCAGCCGAGCTGGTGGAGCGGGGCCCGCGCTGATCTTACCGTCGCTCCTCCGCGACATCACCTCACGCCACCAACCCTCAACCGCCGCCGCTTTGAACTACAAACTGCCGCAGCTCGAGCGCCGTAACGTGCATCGCGCAGGCGCGCGCGCACGCGCGCATATACACACACACACACGCACACGCGCCAAACGTTGCCCGATTGGGCGGTTATCCGCCCAATTGTGGGCGGGTTTCACGCCCAATTGGGCGCGTTTTTTTGTTCCACTTCGGGGCGGTTGCCTAATTTTTAAAAAAAAACACAAAAGTTAAACCTGCAAAATGTTTGTTTCCTCCCATTCCCCCCCCCACCAACCCACCCACCCACCAATGAAAACCTTTTTTCTCACGGTTTCAAAAGCGCTAACCTAAATTGGCGATCCATAACATCGGGTTATTTTGGGGCTCGTGTTTGATGGATTCTGGGCTACAAATTGTAGTTTAATGTCTGGCCACCCTACTCAAAGCCGCACGGCATCCATCACGATAAAAACCCAGGCTCCGCCAACTCGGATTGTCAGAAATTACAGTTTGTAGCCCAAAGTCCACCAAATACTCACCCTGTTATTCTGCGTTGGCCACCATGACACACAGGCCGAGTTAGGTCAGTGTTTGTTGAGACTGTGCTTTCACGTAAGTTCCTAGTAAGTAGGAAACCTGTTGTCCGTCGAATAGCGAATTGTTTTCCCGAGGGAAATAATCCATTCAAAATAGATTAACAAAATAATAGTTTGATCACTCAATCCACAACTGTTTGTGGGACACTGCTGTGTGCAATTGGCTGCCACGTTTCACCCACAAAATATAGCCAAATCACTCTACAGTGTATTCTGTGAAGCGCTTTGAGACATCTCGATGATGTGATAAGGCGCTGTATCAAATGCAAGTGTTGTATAAGGAGAGGTTTTCGGTGGGGGGATCGTGTCGGAGGTTTAAATTTTAAAGAATCAAAGCATCCACTCAAAGCAGCGTTTTCATGCACCATACAACAAAAGCCATCTGGTAATCTTTCCCGTTGCTTGTCCAGCTCGGACCACAGTACCCGTTAGGGCTTTGGCTTTCAGGGCTCACTGGAGCTGAGCGGGTTGACTCCTTGCCCCCAGTGACGGGTCTGCCCTCCCAGGTCCTGCTGATTGAGCTGTGCCGCCATCAGCAGTGCCCCGGAGTCCTGCAGACCCACCTGTCTCAGGAACGAACCGGACCACGGACCACCGCAGAGGACTGGCTCCATTCGACATTCCATTGCCGGCAAGTTACCTTGGAGCCAGTTCGGTTCCAAGGATAGACGTACAACAAAACCCCACCCAATTGGGTAGGACACCCTCCAATCTGCCAACACTTGCTTCCCCCCTATATATACACATACATACATATACGTATATGTACGCCCTGCACAGGTGTGCGCATATCGCTCTCTCCAGCTGACCTTCCCAGCATGGCCGCAACGTTCACCCATTCCCTCCCTCCCTCCCTTCTTTCAGAGCAACAATAATCAATAATAACAATAACAATAATAATTATTACAATTATTATCATTGCAACAGGTGGCTGGCGCATGCGCTCAGATCCTGCTCTCTTTCTCTCTCTCTCTCCAGCCCTCCCCCCCACCCACCCACCCACCCCGCCCTCGCGCCCCCACGCCCCGCCCCCTCCCCACGCCCCGCCCCCTCCCTACGCCCCGCCCACGCCCCGCCCCCTCCCGCGTGCCCGCCGGGGAGTTTGGCGCAGGCGCAGTTTCACCCGGAGCCAGCGCTCGAGCCGGAGCCGTTGCCGTTGAGGATGGGTTTGAAGTCGGGAGTCGCTGAAGTGCAGCTGCTGTGACCTGACTCGTGCCCCTGAGGAGAGGGGAGGAGAGGGGGGGGGGGTGGGGACGGGGGTGTGAAATAGGATGTCAGCCTTGAAGAAGGTAAATAAAACATGTTGCGTTGGCGGTACATGTTAATAATATACCCAAAGTGGACGGGGATAACACACACATAACAACGTGGAGAAATGTGCGCTGTAAGTCAAGGGGCTGCTCTGTAGCTGTCAACGCACAGGGTTGACTCTATGCCTCTCTCTCTCTCTCTCTCTCTCTCTATATATATATCTTTCTTTCTTTTCACTGTTTCTTTTCTTTCCTCGGCAGTGTTTTTTTTTTGGGGTGGGAGGGGGGTCTGGTTTGTCCACTCCAAACCGAGCTGCTTCCCTGACTTAAGGAGAAGAAGGGAAGGGAAACGGGGTGGGGGTGGGGGGTGGGGGGGCGTGAGTGGCCGCATTGGCAGGTGGTGCTTGTTGTTGTGTTGTTGTTGTTGTTGTTGTGTTTATTTGGGGGTGGGGGAGAGAGGGAGGGAGGGAGGGGCAATTTTGCACCCCCCCCCCCCAACCTGACAGCCCCCCACACCCCCCCACCCACTCCTATTCCTATTTCTTTCCTTTCAACCCTTTTCGTCGTGTCGTTTTTCGGTGGGAGATTTTGTTCTCGGGAAGGAAGGAAGGAAGGAAGGGAGGGAGGAAGGAAGGAAGGAGGGGGTGAGAGCGAGACCGTGTCGGGAGGGGGCGATGGAGAGAGGTGGCATCAGCACACGCTGCAAGGCACGTCCTTTCAGCGCCTCGGGACGGCCCCGACGCGAAAAGGCGCTCCGGAGGTGGAATTTTGTTGTTGTTGTTGTTGTTATTGTCGTGAGCGGCAACAGCACACGTTTGCAGGCATGTTGAGGCGGAGGGGGGCAAAGGCGGCGGCGGGGTGGGGGGGGGCGATGGAGGAGGGGTGAGGGAGCGATGGAGGTGTGGTGGGCAGATGATGGAGGCGGGGGGGGTGTGATCAGGCCGTGGGGAGTGATGGAGGCGGGGGGGCGATGGAGGCGGGGCTGAGGGGCGATGGGGGTGGGGGGGCGATGGCGGGGCAAGGGCATACGATGGTGGTGGCATTGAGGGGGTGGGGAGATGGTGGGGGCGAGGCGGGGGGTCCGATGGCGGCGGCGGCGGCCACAGGACAAGGTTCAGCCATGTCAGGAGGGGCAACAGCAAAAAGTGCAAAAATACAGAGAGAGAGAGAGAGAGGGGCAGGAGAATAAGGTGCAGGCACATCGAGATGCAACAAATTAAAGGATGCGACACCACAGACAGCTTTGGAGATTGGCAACACCAAATGCTTGAGGTGTGTAAAGAGTACAGTGGAGAGCAGGGCTCTGGAAGGGGCAATAGAGAGTTGTGGCTTGTGCAAGTGCAAACAGCTGTGGTTGGGGACCGCAAAGGAAGGAAGGAGTGTGCCAGTGAGGAGCTGGATAATGAGAGGAGCTGAGTATGACATAGGATCAATTTCAAGATCCTCACCCTTGTCTGCAAATCCCTCCACTCCTCTGCACCCCCCTACCTCTCTGACCACCCGTCTTCTCCTCACAACAGTGCCCGTTGTTTTCTCTCCACTGGGTCTGGCCTCCTCCTTATCCACCAAATCCTCCACTCCACCATCGGCGGTCGTGCCTTCAGTCACTGTGCCCTGAGGCTCTGGAACTCCCTTCCTCACTCTCTTCACCTCGCCCCCTTTTCCTATTTTCAGGACTTGGCTGAAGACCTTTTCGACTGCGCCTTTGGTCACCTTCCTTCCCCTCTCCCTGGCTCGGCCCCAGGATCCGTTACTGTGAAGCACTCTGAGACGCTGTCCAGCATGGAGGGCGCTATATAAATCCAAGTTGTTGTTGTGGTTGTTGTTGACATTATGGGACAGCCCCAGGATAGGTTAACATGAGAAGAGTGGATCTTGTCAACAGAGGCTAATCTGGAGAAGAGGTGGAGTGTATTGTAATGCGTCAGCCCCAATGCTAGCGAGATTGCAGGGTAAGGAGAAGGATTCATCATAGGGTTGATGATGGGTTTATTTGAGTAAGGGCAGGATGGAACTTGTTAATGAAATGGAGAGTGGAGAGCTAGAAATTATTAAATGCAGAAATGTGAGGGCTGTTGTAATGTTCTTCTAATGAGCCCCAAAAGACTCTTCACCTGCACTTTTCTTACGATCTTATAAATTGGGATGGTCTAGGCAGAGTTATTGCACTGGGCTGACATTGGCCAATGATGGAGGGAGTAAAATGGGTCAGTGCAGTCTACTGCAGACCACAGTTGAATGCACAGCACAACCTGTCTAAAGAGTTTGCCAACACTATACGACCCAGCTCGGGGCAACGTGTACTAGCATGGTGTTGATTGTTACAGATTGAGTAGATAGATGTCTGAGTGAATGTGTTGTGCTTTAGCTTAGAGGCTGCCTCGCTGAATGATGTTTACTAGAGCAAATGCATGTTAACTTGGATGCTTAGCAAAATGTAGATGATGTGTAGCCAAGGAAATAGTACAGAGTGATAGTGTGGAGCTGTGAGAATAGAGTAACCTTGCATTGACACGAAAGTGGTGCCTGTCTGCCTGTGTGTGTTTTAATAAAGATGGGACTATGAACAAGAACATGAACAAGATCACCCCCTGTGAAAGAACAAATAAATTCAAAGGGGTAGTTTATCCAGGAGAAAGTACTCTTAGCTCAAAGGAGTCTGACAAGGAAGAGCTGCATACACAAATGCATGGAAGCTAAGTGGAAAGTAGTTAGGAGTTTCTGTTTCTGCTGGTGACAAATGAATTTTGCCCTAAGCAATTGCATCCTGGTCCAGAGATGACACATCTCTATTGAATCAATATTGGTGTTCAGGACATGGAAATATTCCTGACACTGATGAGAGTCCCAGATTCTGCACACTAGCAGAGATGAGTTGAAACCCCAAGGAAATGCTAATTAAATTCAGTTTAATTTCATTAGAAAGCAAATGTATGTTGTTGTGGAGATTTGCTACTAATATTAAATATTTTTCAAACTTTATAATCCGAATTTTTTTTCGTATATGCAGTTCTTCATAATTGCACTGAATTTGAATAAGCATTTCATATAGTCTTAACAACTCAATATTTATTACAGGCTTGGGGCTGCTTTTGGCAGTAGTGTTACGGATTGAGTAACATTGCTCGCCTCCGCTACTACCTCTCCCCTCAGGCTGCCGAGACACCTATCCATGCTTTTGTAACATCCAGGTTTGACTATGCTAACTTCCTGCTCACCAATCTTTCCAACTCTTCCTTCCACAAGCTGCAGATTATTCAGAGCTCCACAGCTCGTGTTCTCTCCTGCACTCAGCTCCGTGAGCCGATCACCTTCATCCTTCCCAGCTTCACTGGCTTCCCATCCCGCAGAGAATTGATTCTAAAATCCTTGTCCTCATCTTCAAAGCCCTCCACGGACTTGCTCGGCCCTACCTCTGTAACCTCCTAAAACCCAACCAACTTCCCTCCGCCTGCTCCATGTACCCTGCCCTGCCCGCTCCACCATTGGAGGACCAGCCTTTAGCCTTTCTGCATACACCTTCTGGATATCCCTTCTGGAGCCCCTCCGCCTCGCCCTCTCCCTTGCCAATTTTAAGGCCCATCTCAAGATCTTTCTCTTTGACCATGCCTTTCCACTACTCACCACCCTTGCCCTCCATCCTTCTTACTCCAGCCTGCAGGTTATCTACAAACCCTTGACTGTCCAGCACCTTGGGACGTTCTCCCGAAGTACACAAATGTCGTTGTACTGTGCTGCCGTGAAGATTGATTGTAAATGGTTGCAGGCAGCCTGAAATCTGCTGAATGTTCAGCGTTACGTAAAGTCCTCATAAGGGACATTACCAAGGGATTAATAGTTTTGCAATTCTGCTTGTCTGCAGTGACCTTTACAGTCGTTGGAGGTTTTTGAGGATGATCAGTTGTGATAAGGGGTGAAGTATTGCTGTGTACGACAATGCTGTGGATAAAATTTCTGGTCCAAATGACCCTCATGTAATACTCTTGAAGTAGCAATATGGAGGATGTTATCATAAAGATAAACTTGGGTTCCTTTAAGTATTTAATAGATGGGTGCAGTAACAGTGATGAGATGAAAGGATTTGTCAGGCAACAGTGGTGGGATGAATATAAAGTACCAATATTGTGACCTGATTCCACAGTGTGCTTGTTTCTATTAGGATGTTTTACAGTGGTGGACAAGAGGTGGAAATGTGAGCCAAAATAGATGAAAATTAAATAGATAATGCTGGATACGTTATACTACTGTGACAGTCTTTGAATTTATCATGTGTGCCTAATTTGCCAAGGTGAATGCTGCCAGTTGCATACAGCTAAATACAGAGTGTAGCACAGTGCCCTTTCAAGATTGTGTTGCTAACTTTATCAAAGTATTAGTATGACTCAGTTGGTAGCAGTCTCTGGGTCAGAAGGTTGTGAATTCAAGCTCTATGTCAGGACTTTGAGTTGACAGTCTATGCTGACACTCGCGATACAATGTGGGGGCAGGGGGAGGGAAAGTGCTGCATTGTCAGAGGTGCTGTCCTTTTTAACTTGAGGACTTATTGATGGGTGCTATATAAATGCAAGTTGTTATTAGTATTACAACAACAACAAATTGCATTTACATACCGGCTTTCGCATTGGAGGATGTCCCAAGGCTCCAAAACTTTATTAACCCTGATGGAAGAAGATTTGGGTTTATACTGTACCTTGTATGCTGTGTAATGATCTTTTTCCTCACTGATTTTGAATTCATAGGGGTGTCTCCTTTTAGTGCAGGCTCTTTTTTGTATTGCAATATGCTGTTAGGGTAAATACTATATAATGATTGAAAGTAGATTTCTCCAAATATCGGTAAATGTGAATCTCATGTCTTGTTGTACTGCTAGAGATAATATTGAATTCGACTATTTGTACATAATTTGCTTAATTCAAGTTAATTGAACATAGCTTTTGACTCTATCTAACTTGTCTTGTACTCATGCTATTAGGAATAATGTTTATACAGTGCTAATCAATGTAAGATATCAGTTTGTCAATCTGATAACTATTATACAT